CTAAGAACACTATATTGCAACTGGGTCACAAAGTGTTTATCTGTCTATCCTGTTTTGTCATGAGATACCTAGTGTGTTTATCATCTTTGTATCCCAAATGTACACAAATGCACAAAGTTGGACACACTTTAAATGTTTGATCTGCTTATTTTTAAAATAGGTGAATGAAAGAATGACCGTAGTAAGAGACACATATTATTCTTCATTATCTTGTTCTGCTTAGGGCGAAGGAGAATAATAAAATTAGGCATAGGGAATGTCTCATGCTTTTAAGGGACTCCACCTTATTATGTAACACTGATAAATGCACTCTGTGTCCGACAGAGGGTGCGATAGAGCAAACATTTCCTCCACGGCCCAACCCACTAGAAAAATGTCTGGCTAGTGAAGGAACTGTCTGAACTTTAACAAACTCTCGTGACCACTGACTCACTCAGAAGAGATTAGCTGCCTTTCTTTGCAGATGTGCAAACTCCTTGTTAGTGCCTGCTGGACTCATTTCAGATTTTATTTTAACAGGGCTAAACTGATGGGCAACAAGAACTTTCTTTATTGAAGAGTTATCAGTGTAACTTGGAGAAGGAAATGGCAACCCACTCCAGTATTTTTGCCTGGAGAATCCCAGGGACGGAGGAGCCTGGTGGGCTGCCATCTATGGGGTCGCACAGAGTTGGACACAACTGAAGCGACTTAGCAGCAGCAGCAATGTAACTCCTTAAGTGGTGATGTTATGTTATGATATGCATCCCCAAATCACTGGGTTAAATTAATTCTCCTCATTCACTCAAAAGTTAGACAGGCCACCGCTCCCTCGGGTATCTGACAGAGGGGAAGACCATCTGCTTCAATCCTTTCCTTAAATTCATGGTCACCTTTCAAGGCCATGGGGCTCTCAGAGACTAGGAACAGAATGCTCAGGACTTGGGAAATCTAGAATCTACTGTGTTCCAAATCAACTTCACAAGCTGGGGGAGGGTGTGGAAAAGAACAGAGGCAGGAATCTGACATACAAAATGCTGCTCCTGAACTCACAGGAGTGTTTATGTGCTACGATTCTGGTATTTCAGTGAACATTAAAAACTCTAAGGGTTTCCCTGATGGCTCAGATGGTAAAGAATCTGCCTGCAAAGCAGGAGACCTGGTCGATCCCTGGGTTTGGAAGATTTCCTGCAGGAGGTCATGGCAACCCACTCCAGTGTTCTGGCCTGGAGAATCCCCACAGACAGAAGATCAGTCCATGGGGATGCAAAGAGTTGGACATGACAGAGAAACTAAGCAGTGAATACTCTAAGGTCCTGACACAGTGGAAAGAACCTAGGTCTGGCCATGTCAGAAAGAATCCAGGACTGACTAAGTATCAGGGATGTGGGCTCTAGGCTCAGCTCTGCCAACAACGAAGGCAAGTGAATGTGACCAGCCATTTTATCTTTCTAGGCCTCGACTCGTAAATGTAAAATAGCAATACTGCAACAGATGGTATTGACAGTTCTTTTCAGCATTCATTCTATAAGAATGGGGACTCCAAAGGTTGCTCAGTGGTAAAGAATCCACCTGCAATGCAGGAGACCTGAGTCCGGCCCCTGGGTTGGGAAGATCCCCTGGAGGAAGGCACGGCAACCCACTCCAAGATTCTTGCCTGGAGAATCCTATGGACAGAAGAGCCTGGTGGGCTACAGTCTATAGGATTGTATTTGTCAACTCAGTTGAGTTGGACATGACTGAGCACTCATGCACACACTATAAGGGTGTAAGAACTCCATGCCTTATTTTACAGATCTCTATGCTATTTTGAGCCTCTGTCTTTAGCTGCGCCATTAGAGCTGTCTCTTGGTCTGGCAGTGACAAATCAATCTGGGTGACTGTTCTTCCCAGTTCCCTCCCGCCTTGCACTTCCTGTTGACTCCGGATAAAGGAATTCTTCCCCCCTCCCCGCCCCCTCACTGTGCTGTGCTAACCTTTTGGCCTAGACACAAGTTTAAGGAGACAGAAGTGCTATGACATCTGTATGGAGGCTGATTGTAGTGGTCACATAGCTCCTTTCCACGCGGTCCTAAAAATAAATTCAGTAACTTAAAGTAGTCCCAGGAATTTTAGTTTCCTCTTACATTGGAAAATATCTTTTTCAGGGATATAAAAATACTCAAGGTTTTGCAACTGAGGGGTAATGTTCTTCCTGATCACCTGGCTTGACAATTTCACACTCCTAACTCCCCCATGTGCTCAGTTCTCCTTCCCTGTCCCTGCTCAGCGGTCACAGAGCTGTTAGAGGCATGGTCTATTTGGGACAGAGCAAGGGAAGAACCTGGACTTCTCAGGGGGCTCGGTGGTAAAGAATCCACCTGCTAATGCTGGAGATGCAGAGATGTGGGTGCGATCCCTGGGTCAGGAAGACCCCCTGGAGAAGGAAATGGCAACCCACTGCAGTATTCCTGGCTGGGAGATCCCATGAACAGAGGAGCCTGGAGGGCTACTGTCCATGGAGTTGCAAAAGAGTAGGACACAACTGAGAGACTAAACAGCGACAAGGGAGGAAACTGACATTTCTAGAGCACGTCTGTGCACAGACTTCAACCTGGGTCCACAGCCTCTGTGCCACAAAGGGGCAAAAGCCTGGTTTTAACCTCATGCCCCTCCATCTGTTGCACAGCAGGCCGGAGGGTACTGAGTACCTACCTGCTGGGGCTGAGAGAGCCCTGAAGCTCACTTTCCCAGAAGAGCTCATCACAAAGCAATACCTGACTGTGTGACACCTTCCGAAGTGGAGAGGTGACCTCTGAGCTCAGCCAAAGAGCAAATCTGATGGGAGCAAAGTCATGGGTTGCCATTCTGCAAGGTCAATTTGCGGTGCTCTGCTTCTCACTTGTGGTTGATGCTCCATCTCAAAATGTTGTGCCAAGGCTTTCAGTGGGAACTGGGACATGGGATGATTCTAGTGGATTCTGTGCCTGTGTGTGAGCAGCTGAAGCTCATCTCTCTGAGTTCCTAGGTGCTTTCCTTTTAATCCTCACCAGTGTGTGTGTGCGTGTGTGTGTGTGTGTGTGTGTGTGATGCTTAATCATGTCTGACTCTGAAACCTCATGGACCATAGCCCACCAGGCTCCTCTGTCCATGGGATTCTCCAGGCAAGAATACTGGAGTGGTTGCCATGCCCTCCTCCAGGGGATCTTCCAGATCTAGGGACTGAACCCTCAAGAACTGTGTATTTTGTCAACTCTAAGACACTCTTTTTTTCTTAGATTATCTCTGAAGGTGGAACGCATCTTATATTCAGTATGTGTGTGTATGTGCTTAGTCATGTCCAACTCTTCACAACCCCATGAACTGCAGCCCCGCCAGGCTCCTCAGTCCATGATTTCCCAGGCAAGAATACTGGAATGGGTAGTCATCCCCTGCTCCAGGGGATCTTCCCAATGCAGGGATCGAACCTGGGTCTACTGCTTGAAGGCAGATTCTTTACTGTCTGAGTCAAATCCTCACAGCACACTTATAAGGGACAGTTAGTATATCCAGTTCACAGGTAAGAAAACTGAGGCTCTAAGAGTTTATGTACCTTTTCCAAAGAAGCAAGAAGGAAAATCCAGGTACCCTCTGACTCCTAAGTCTGCTTTCCCGTGGCACCATGCAATTCCCCAAAGTGATCTGCCCTAATTCAAAATATTATTCTTTCTATTAACACATGAAGCAAAAAGTGATCACAGATTTCTAGCAGCTGAGAACAAAGAACAGAATTGACAGTAGTCAGTGCTGAATGGTAATTCTGTCTCAGTCTCAATCCTTGAATCTGTTTTCAGTCCATTTGGGAGACATACTTAAACACATTCAGAAGAATGGAAATAGGTTACCTTTGAGGTTGAATTAGCTTTTCTTCTCAACATTGTTGTTGTTTAGCCACTCAGTCATGTCTGACTCTTTGTGACCCCAAGGACTGCAACATGCCGGGTTTCCCTTCACCATTTCCCAGAGCTGCTCAAACTCATGTCCATTGAGTCAGTGATGCCATCCAACCTTCTCATCCTCTGTCATCCCCTTCTCCTCCTGCCTTCAATCTTTCCCCAGCATTAGGGTCTTTTCTAATGAGTTGGCTTTTCACATCAGGTGGTCAAAGTACTGGACATTCAGCTTTAGCATCAGTCTTTCCAATGAATATTCAGGATTGATTTTCTTTAGAATTTACTGGTTTAATCTCCCTGTAGGCCAAGGGACTCTCAAGAGTCTTCTCCAACACTACAGTTCAAAAGCATCAATTTTTCAGTGCTTAGTCTTCTTTATGGTCCAACTCTCACATCCATACATGACTACTAGAAAAACCATATGGACCTTTATCAGCAAAGTAATGACTCTGCTTTTTAATACTCTTCCTAGGTTTGTCACAGCTTTACTTCCAAGAAGCAAGCATCTTTTAATTTCATGGCTGCAGTCACCATCTGCAGTGATTTTGGAGCCCAAGAAAATAGTCTGTCACTGTTTCCATTGTTTCCCCATCTATTTGCCATGAAGTGATTATCTCAACATAATCCTGGCTAAATGTCTGGTAAAATTTCCCTCCCCTATTAGTATTTGGGAGGTATTGGGAAGATCTAATCTGATTCTCAGTGGAGTATATCTTTCCAAAACCAACTGGCTGCCTCAGTGTTTGACTTGCTGGAGCCAGCTCACGTTGGCTCTGGTAAACTCGATTGTATTCATCCATTTCCAACTCTGGTGGTTTGCAATCAGTCATAACTGGGAGCAATGATTCCATGGAAATCAGTAAAATATTCAAACCAACACACCCCTCCCCCATTTATTTTTTCATTTCTGGCAAACTAGTTGTTCAACCTTTATCCTTATAACCCTGTCACTCTTAACCATAGATATCTAGAAATCTGACAGCATAAGTGACACAAAGTATTTCCAGACTAAGCTAGTTTTCCTACGAATATGGTTCTTTGCCATGACCAGAAAAACTGAAAACTGGCCGTAGGCATTATCTGTGGAAATATCCCAGATTACTAACTCACCTTGAGCAGAGAGATTTTTCCAAAACTGGAAAGAACTCTTGGAAACTCCCTTCAGTATCTTCAGAAGAAGCCAGGAATAGTTACTCTCTTAAGAATATTAAATAGAGCAAGAGGAAAAGGCAGAGGAAGGAAAGACACAGTCATCAAGAGAACCCATTAAAATATTCTCCAAAAATATCCTTAACATTTCATATAAAATCCCAGTGTAGATCATTTGTTTTCTATAAATAAAAGGCTAGGCTCAGGCTATTATGTCAAAGCACCGATGAATGGTAATAAACACCCTGACACTGAGAAATGTATGGGAAGCAGCTGATTTGATCAAAGCTTCAGGACCTGCTCGCCCCATCCCCCAAGGCCACTGCTCTTTGGATTTTCATGTTCCGGGTCCAAAAACATAATTATGACTCAAACACATGGCTGGTAGGGGTGGAACATCATTTTGGAAAACTATTTGGCAGTTTCTAGCATTTTAAAATATTTTATTTGAGAGTAATAAAAGTTGTTTGCATACACAAAGCAGCTTTATTCATACTAGTAGCCCCAAACTAGAAATAATACAAATGTCCAGTAACAGGACATTCGTTGTATACTCATACATTGCAAGACTACTCAACATTTACAAGGAACAAACTCTGAAATAGCATGTGAGTGTGTGCGTTAGTCGCTCAGTTGTGTCCGACTCTTTGGGACCCTATGGACTGTGACTCGCCAGGCTCCTCTGTCCGTGGGGTTCTCCAGGCAAGAATACTGGAGTGGGTTGCCATTCCCTTCTCCAGGGGATCTTCCCAATCCAGGGATTGAACCTGGGTCTCCCACATTGCAGGCAGATTCTTTACCTTTTGAGCCACGAGGGAAAGCCCCCTATGATAGCATATGTGTGTCTTAAAAACAGTAGTTAAGTGAAGTACAAAACAGCACATATTTTATGATTCTGTTTGCATGAGATTTAGAACAGGGAAATCCAGTCTATGCTGATCAGAAGAGTTATTGTCCCTGGCCTAGGGTTGGAAGGATGGACTGGGAAAGGGTATGAGAGAATGTTCTGGGGTGATGGAAATGTTCTAATTCTGGATTTTGGAGTGGTGATTACAAAGGTATACATAATTGTCAAAATTGACCCAACTATACACTTAGACATGTTATGAGCCCATGAAATGTAAATTAGACCTCTACTGAAATATGAATATGTGTGAAAGTATTAGTCGCTCAGTCATGTCTAACTCTTTGCCACCCCATGGACTGAAGCCTGCCAGGCTCCTAGTCCATGGAAGTCTCCAGGCAAGAATAGAGTGGGTTGCTATTCCCTCCTCCAAGGGATCTTCCCTACCCAGGGGCTGAACCTGGGTCTCCTCACTGCAGGGGGATTCTTCACCATCTGAGCCACCAGGGAAGCCCCTATCTTTGTATAAAGGTAAATAGATACGCATACGCTTACATTTCTAATCTAATTAAAGGATCTAATGTAATAAGCGCTGCTTCCTTGGCCCCTAGGAGTTTCACACTTTCTGCCCGCCAAAGACATGGACTTTGTGCTTTCAAAGTGTGGATTCAGGCCTCTACATGATGCTGCAAGTTGGAACCTTGTGCAATCACGCCCAGGTCATTTCCCTCAAGCCTGTCGACTTCCCATCTCTGACACAATGCTTCATCTGGGTCATCCCCGCCGAGCCACGGGAGAAAGTTTGGGGCCAGGTTCAGCTTGGCGGGGAATTCCTCTCCCCCGCACACACTTTCCAGCGCAGGGAGGCGGCCGGGTCACAGAGCTCACGGGGCATGAATCAGCCTCCCCTCCAGGCTCCACGAAGGCGCGCTCCGCCCTGTCCCGTCTCTGAGGGCCTCTAACCCTACAAAAGCAGCGGCACCCACCGCGCTGGGATCCAGACCGCCCGGAGGTTGGACGCCGTGCACCCTCCCCTCCTCTCGCCGGCACCGTCTGAATTGGACACCATGGACTCGGTTCGCCCCCTCTGGCTGATGCTTCTGTCGCTGCTCCTCGTGGGAACTGCGCTGGGAGATGCCCCGCAGGCGCCGCCAGGTACCCCCCCCCCCTCTCAACCCGCGCGTCCAGGGGACCCCTCTTCGCCGTAGCCAGGCGGCAGGGGCTCCGCGGACCCCTACATCCGCGCTCCCCTATATCCGCGCTCCCCTACATCCGCGCTCCCCTACATCCGCGCTCTGTGCCCTACTTTCCCCTAATTCCTGCCGTGCACCGCAAGTTTGCACTTTCTGTCTCTGTAAGGCCCTTCTGCTGGGCTGGGAAGCTGCTGGGACCAAACTCCCCACCCCCACCCCCCCGGGGGAAGCCTCTCCCGCCTCCGAGATGCGGCTGACCTCCTCTGACTCTGGCTCCCCTGCCCCTCCTGTAGGAAATAACGCGGAGATCTGCCTCCTGCCCCCGGACGACGGGCCCTGCCGGGCGCGGATCCCCAGTTACTACTACGACAGGTACACGCAGAGCTGCCGCGAGTTCATGTACGGCGGCTGCGAGGGCAATGCCAACAATTTTGAAACTTTGGAGGCCTGCAACGAAGCGTGCTGGAAGATTGAGAGTAAGTGCTCGCCCCCACGCCCAGGATTCCTGTAAGACAGGCAGAGAAGGGCTAAGTGGGAAATGAGCTTATTTTTCACATCCCATTTTCTATAGTAAGTTTCATCCTTGATTTTCTCAGATATTGTTAGACTTATTGCTTTTCAGTTGACTAAAAGTGATCATGAAACTTTCAACGACAAACATTTCCTCTCCCTTAATTGGCATGTATCATAATTCAGTGTTTGTGCAGACTCCGGAAGGATTTCACCTAAGGCATAAGGATGCAAGAGGTCATGTATTAGGTGCAACATAAGTGCCTGTCTGTATTTAACATTAGTTCTAAACCTATGGTTTTTATGCCTCCTTGAGAGGGCATTTTTCTCTTGTCCACTGTGTAGCAATCTGAAATCCTTGCAGTGGCTTTTGTTATTAAAGTCTGAATTAAGCTAATTATAACCTTACTTTTGTCCCTTGATACCCAAAGAGATCTTGGGTTAGTATAGAGATATAAAAAAATATAGAGATTCACAATGCTGCTTGCAATTTTATATTAATTATGTTTACTGTCTCTGTGAAGGCCTGTAACAGAACATGGGACTCAACTGTTAAAGGAACTGAGCCAGGGAAAAATGTGTATTCCTATGAATAAGTTTGATTAATTTCATATGTAGAAACAATCAGAACACTCTGAGAGAATAATCTTTCCAGTAAGCATGAAAAATTTATCATAGCTGAGTCAGGTCTGGAGACACTGTTAAAAAAACAAAAGCTGAATAGAGTTGTCTCTCATTGTCTGTGCTGACTGGTTCCAAGACCCCAACTCTCCGATGCAACGTCTACAGTATTTGCATAGAACCTGTGCACATTCTCCCTTAAACTTTAAATCATCTCTAGATTCCTTACCAGCATAGGACAAATTCAAGCTTTGTTTGTTTGTTTGTTTTAATGAACTTTCAGGAATTATTTTTTCCTGAATATTTTCTCTCTGGGTTGGTTGAATCTGTGGAATGCTAGACCCAAGGATACAAAATCTTGTTGTAGCTGGACTAATGGGCAATCTTTTGGGCATTTACTAGCCCAGCACTACATATCATGCCTCCCACTCCCACCACCACTCTACCTCTGGCCACCACCAGTGGTTTCTGAAAATACAGTCAAGTTTTAAAGGAAGAGTAAGACGGCTAATTTTTGACTAACATTGTTTTATGCCCTCCTTTTCCTAGAAGTTCCCAAAATTTGCCGGTTAAAAGTGAATAAGAAGCAGTGTGGGGAGCTCAGAGAACAGTATTTCTTCAATCTAAGTTCTATGACATGTGAAAAGTTCATATCTGGTGGGTGTCACAACAATGAGAACCGGTTCCCGGATGAAGCTACGTGTATGGACTTCTGTGCGCCAAAGAGAGGTAAATACTCTCTTCATTTCTTTATTTAGACTTTAGGGTGAAAACATTAATAATTTGATATGAAATTAACCTGGTTTGCATTCTGATGATTTCACATATAATATGATACCAGTCTGCACGCTACTGCCCTGTGAGGGAATATTTTTACATGCAAGAGTGCGAGCTAGAAGTTTAATAACTTGCCAAGTTCTCAGGGCTGGAAAGTGACGAAGCTATGATTCAAGCTTTTACTTCCTCTTCTGTATTGTTTCTTTAGAACTATTTCTCATCTATTTAACTTGCACATAAAATAACTACAGTGTTCATTAATGAATGACATGTATGAAATCAGGTGTATATATGAGATAGTATGACAGAGAGACTTAAGCTGGTGAAACCTGAAATTTTCTAAACTTTTTGTTAGATTTCTGTGTTCTTTAGTAATTACAGATTGTAGCACAAATTGATCTCTCCTCCCCATGGTTTATCTACATAGTCCATGCGATCCCTAAAATGATGGGTTTCTTGGGTAGTGGGTAATGTTGGTAGAGACAGTCCTGGAGTTTTCCGTAGGCATGGCAGAGACATGTACACATAGATAGTTCAACAAACAAGGAAAATTTGCCTTGGCAGTCTCTGATAAAGCTCTGTAGTTATACCGTGTTGAGTATGCAAAATCTTGAATTAATGAGGAGTTGCTTGTTGCTGGTGTTTTCCTAAATTGTTTATGTAAATGTAAGTGTTCCACTGGCTACCTGGGAATTAGATACATGTATTCTTGATTAATAATGGAAGGAGAGCTGATAGAAACATTGAAAATAAAACTACCAACACAAGAGAGTGTGCCAAAGTATGTCACATATTTTCTCTTGAAACATAGCTCATTTTTACCTGACCATATATGTCTTGGGGGCTTAATTTCTTTACACATTCAAATGATACAAGGATATAGCTTGAAATTTTGTCTACTCCGTAAGAATTTATAATTAACAAACTATGTGTTTGAAATTTGAGGCACACTTTTTAAATGGCTTAGTATAATATTTTGGATTCAGAAAGAAGCTTCTATGGGATTAGATGTTCTTCAGTTACTTCAGTAATCAGCACAGCTTATTATTTCCAGTATTACTGCATTTCTAATTTTCTTTTCTTTTCCATTAAGCTCCAGCATTTTGCTACAGCCCAAAAGATGAGGGGCTGTGTTCTGCTAATGTCACTCGCTATTATTTTAACCCAAGACACAAAGCCTGTGAGGCCTTCACCTATACTGGCTGTGGAGGGAATAACAATAATTTTGTCAACTTGAAGGACTGCAAACGCACTTGTGTAAAAGGTAATGTTTTGGTTTTTTTTCTTATTCAGTTTTTAAACTAACTTTATACATAATTCATAAACAAAATTATTTTATGTACCCTTTTTACTAATAGCATATTGCCATTTCTAGACTACTTCTACATAAATAGCACTTCATTACTGATCAGTTTTGTCTAAATGCTTACACAGGTTAACTACAGTAAGCAGTAGCTGTGTCTTGATATTTTAAAGGTAGAATGCTATTAACTTAGTGGATAGTCAGTAAAACTGACTTTATACTCATTAAAAGTAAGACAAGGTGGGTTTGTAAGCATGTCAGAAATGGTGATTTATAATGAGCCTACAGACTGGGGACATATGATGTTTATTTTTATTTTGTTGATCTTAGCCTTGAAGAAGGAAAAGAACAAGAAGATGCCAAGACTTCTCTTTGCCAGTAGAAGACTGAAAATTAAGAAGAAGCAATTTTAACCAGCTTCTTTTTTTTTTTCTATATGTCATCTTGTGAATGTCCTTATGGTTATATCTGAAGGACAACATGGTAACACAGGCAAGCAAATAATTAGTGTTATTCACCAGTTCTTACATGTTACATTTTTTATTTGTGTATTTTTTAATACATAAGTAGCTGCTATTCAAATGTGAATCTATTGTTTTAAATATGCTATTCAACTATTTTTTTATGAGGTTAAATTCTTGCTGTGTGTAAGATATAAAAGCAAATATGACTCACTCAAGTTCTTGGGGTTGCCCTCCCTGATTTCAGAAGATGATTGTAACTGAAAAACAAAAGACAATATAATCATATTTTTTAACATATAGGATCATAAAAAGGACCAGCAAATATATTTAATTTTGCATTTAAAAATTAGATTATATTTTAGGCCCAAGGAGACAAGTTTGAAGATTTACCAATACTTCAAAAAATGTTACAAATGCTAGTATGTAGATCCTGCTAGCTAACTTCCATTTCTGTTATGTCATTTAAAAGATAATAAAGTAACATTTTTGACTGAATTAAAAAGCTAGTACATTAATTATATCAGAAATGTTCTCCTCGGAGTGGGAAAATTCTCTCTGTTCATCTATCCATCCATCCCCACTCAGCATATGTTGTTAAAATTTTTGTACTGTGTTTATATTATATCAGAGACAATGCATACATTTAGTAATTTAAATTCCACTAATATTTATGATAAATATGATCATTTCAACAGTTTTTTCCTTCTCTGTAACAAGATTTTTTAAAAAAATTCCTACATTTTCTTGGCAAGAGTAATATTTAAAAGTATGCCCCTGATCTGGCAAAAGTATAAGTACGTTTGTGCTATTCTTGAACAATCCTTCTTTTAAAAATCTATCCCAAAGGTATGAGAACAACAAAAAAAATGAAAATGCTATATGCCATGGTTGATGTATTATTTGGAATAACAGAACTGGAAACAAATGAGACAATTATCATTAGGGGGTTGGTTGAAGAAATTATGGATGAAAAGTGAGCAAATTATTTATATGTAAATATCATCTGATCCTCAGAATACATTTAAAAAACCAGGGTCTAGAACAATGTGACTAAATACACATAGACAAGTAATAGAAGATACAAAGATATTATATTAAAAATGGTTACCTATAAGATGAAGGAAGATGTGACTGTACTTTACTATATAGTTTTGATCTTGAACCATGTAAATTTTCGTGTCATGTAAAACTAAAATTTAAAAAATAAAAAGCATTTTTCTAAAATTCGAAACCAACCAAAACAATTGAACCTAAATTAATATTAAATAATGGCATAACTGTGAAAAGGGTATATGATTATTTTCAGCGACTTTCAAAGCTAGTAATTTGACTATGTGTCTTTTGGAAAATATAATCCAAGAGTCAAATAAATTCTGAAAATGCATTTTGTAGTGTTATTTTGAACCTATTATATATAGACTACTATATTATACATTCTATAAAAATGTGTCTCCCATCCTTTCATTGCAAAGACTTTCATTGAAAGTCTTTGGATCAATGACAATCCAGCAGTAGTAGGTACAGCTACTGCCCAGATCACAGTCACTAAGAGAAACCAGAGGTCTTGAGAGTAATCTGAGTGTAGGCCTGGGACAAGAAATCTGTAAGATGAACCTGGGCCATTTCATTAAAAAAAGCAACGAAACTATGGAAGCCTAATGAGTCCTATCATAGGAACAGGAGAGTACCATTAGGGGATGAGGCAACATGAGCATCAAAACAAATACTGACCACAATATAGGTAAGTATATGAACATGAATATAACATGAGTTAATCATTACACGCACACACACGTGCACCTGCTTGGTGACTCTTGGAGGTTGCTAGAGCACCCTCTCATTACTTTGAAAACTAATGAATTAAGAGAAATAATAAAGGACTTGTTCTTTTTTATTTAGTCTTAAAAACTAAATAGTGTATGAGAGAAAGTTACTCACAGAGGAATCCCAGCTAATACAGGCAATACATGTTAGATAACCCTAGTGAAAGTGTGTATCTAGGTAATGATTATATGTGGATGCTGAAACCAGGGCATGAAAGATTGACGGAAACAGTTTCATGGAGCAATGAGACTAAGGGATAATTTTAACCTTACTAAAAGTGTGCCAGCACACATTATTCACTTATGGATATCAGGTAACAAGAAATGGACACCCCGTCCAATGAGCTGATCTTGCAGACAGAAGGAGAGAAAAAAATTAAGCCTAAAGTTAAGCAAGTCTCTAAATCTCATTACCTATCATTGTACTGCCACATTGTAAGGCACACTTGGGAATAAAGGAGCAAGTTCTAAGAGACCAGGGAAAGTCAATCAGCCAAATCCATAATACTGGACATTCTATAAGACAAATATCCTAGTTTCTCCAACAAACCAAAGACATTTTTAAAAAAGGAGGAAAAAGAGGAGGAGGCGGTGCTTTTATAGAGTATGAGATGTAACAACAAAAAAGCATGTCATCAAAAGTTTTCAGTTGAATAAGGCCTGTATTGGGGACTTTTTTGATGGTTTCTGAGAACGATTACAGCAGAAGGATCTTGTATGTGTTCTGGGATTGTTGAGTGAGTGATACAGGGTCTTTGTGGGAGACTTGGGGAGTTCCAAGCACTACAGGGAAAACTTGATTTGCTATTCGACGCCTTTAGCCTGGATCATGGACCTGACTTAGCTTACAGCTGCAGTTTTCTATTCAGCAAGGGTCAAAAGTGGACTTTTATACAACTGTTCTAATACTCCAAACCTCTGCAATTTTAATTCAATGAAGTAATAAATAAAGCTGTTGTAGGACGTTCTGCAATCAAAGGGAAATTCCTTCTTGCCACAATCAGCTTGAAGACATGTCACTATTGTGGTTTCACGAGACAGGCTGATTAAAAGAAATGTCCCGGTCTGTGACATGAAAAAGGAATGGACTAGCTTTTAATATCACATTCACTTACTGAAAAAAATTATGGACTACCACCCATGTATACATACTGTACATGTTCACTCATAGAAACTGCACCTGGAGCCTTTCAGATTCTTGAATCACAGTATCTCCAAAGTGTTAGTCACTCCGTTGTGGCCAACTCTGTGTGACCCCATGGACTGTAGCCCACTGGCTCCTCTGTCCACGGATTCTCAAGGCAAGAACACTGGAGTGGGTAGCCATTCCCTTCTCCAGGAGGTCTTTCCGACCCAGGGATTGAAGCTGGGTCTCCTGCCTTTTAGGCAGATTCTTTACGTACAATCTGAGACACCAGGGAAGTCCCACTATCTCCAAGTGTACATGCTATTTCTGCCAAAAGTCTTGTAGACATTTAGGTAATGAAGTTTTTCAGGGAGGGACTGTCCTTTGGCATGGCCTTCCTTATATTCTAACAGTGCTTGTAGAAGCTTGTCTTTACAAGTGCCGTGTTTCTAAAAAAAAAAAAATTGATCTTCAGATAAAAATACAAAAAAAAAAAATAGAAAAGTGCAAACTGCAAATTTTAAATATTCATTGCCTATATATTCTGTCATAAATTTAGAGATGGAGGCACTCAAATGCAGAAATCAAAATCATCTAAGGTTATTTCCTCTCCCTTCACTCACATATTCAATTGGTTGCCAGGCATATCTATTCAATCCTATTCTGTGTTGTGTGTGCTCAACCGAGTCTGACTTTGCAGTCCCATAGACTGTAGGCTGCCAGGCTCCTCTGTTCACGGGATTCTCCAGGCAAGAATATTGGAGCAGGTTGCCATTTCCTGCTCCAGGGGATCCTCCCAACCCAGTGATTGAACCCATGTCCCTGTTTCTCCTGCATTGGCAGGTGGATTTTTCACTAGTTCCACCAGGGAAGCACATGCCTATTTTAAGCCTCCTTGTTCCAGGAAAATTAAAACATTTCCCCAAGTTTCCTTCCTGTCTTTGTCTGCTCCATACCCAATCATTCACACTAATGCCCAAGAAATATTTATTAAAAAATCTTATCAATTTACTCTTCTGCTCAAAACTCTTCAAAGATTTTCTATTGAATCTTCACGTTACTGTCCAAGGCCCTGTGTGTCATTTAAGACTGCTTACAAGTAGCCCATAGTATTCTCCTCCAGATTGATCTACCCCATTCCACCATCATCTGTAACCTACAATTCAGCTGCACTAGATTATGTTCAGTTTCCAAAACATGTTCTACTGCCTTATTTTTGTATAATATGGTTATCAAATTTTGTGCATTAGAACCATCTGGACAGCCAGGCACTTACGCAGACTTCTAAGCTCCATGTTCAAGTGTTGTGATTTGGTGATTTGAGTTGATACTCAAAAGATGTACATTAAAAACACTGACTCCTCATAAGAAAATGAAGACCCAAAGAGATGCAAATTTGTATGTTTTTCTCCTGTTAATCTAAGATCAGTTTAATTCTCAGGTCCAGCCAAAAACTCCAAGAGGGTAAAGCTGAAATTTTACCTTCCCTACGAAAGTGAGGGAGAGATAAAGACTTTCTCAGACAAACAAAAATGATAAACTATGTCAACAGCAGACTTGACTTGCAAGGAATATAAAAGAAGTTCTTCAGAGAAAAGAAAATTACATCAGAAACTCAGATCTACATGAAGAAAGAAGAGCAGAAAAGAGAAAAGCAGAAAGAAGAGCAGAGAAGAAATAAATGAAAGCAAAGTAAAAAAAACAAAACAAAACAAATAAAAACACTGACTCCAAATGATTAGGATGAACAGTTGAATCACACATTGAGGAACACTTGGCAAGTTGAATTGTCTTGTTGGTACAGCTTTTCTTGACCCATCTCAAGCAGGTTTAACCACTTGTGCCTTGGGCTTGGCTATACCTAATATGATTCCTACACACTAATACAGTATTTATTTTCCTAGGAGTTTCATTGTTAGAGTGTTTGGGTTTTTCAAGCAAAATTAAGAGGATTTTCTTTCATTTTAAAATGTATTATTATACCCACTGTATACTGTATAGAAAATAAAAGAAAAATATAAGGATATATAAACAATCTAGTATTTCACCATCAAGTGATGAACAACAATGTTTGTCTCCTTGAGGTGGAAATAACTTAGTCAAGAGGTTTGAGCATTTTTATGCTCTCAGTATACACTAACAAATTGCATTACAAAGTTAATCAATTTATCCCACCTAAGAATCTAAGAATGCATGCAAATGCCCAACAAATGGGTTTAAAATAAACAGAAAAATCACTTAGTTATAATTAAGTGGTATCTAATCATTATTGGATTATTAGGTATCTAACAATAGACAATTTTGGTCATAACCAGTATTTTGGTCATCTGATGCTAACAGTCGACTCAGTGGAAAAGCCCCTGGTGCTGGGAAAGACTGAGGGCAGTAGGAGAAGAAGGTGTCAGAGGATGGGAGGGCTGCATGGCATCACTGATGCAATGGACATGAACTTGGGCAAACTCTGGGAGATGGTGAGGGACAGGGAAGCCTTGCGTGCTGCAGTCCATGGGGTCACAAAGAATCGGACATGACTGGGCAACTGAGCAACAACAACAGATTATTAGACGAGCTTCCTTGCTGGCTCTGAAGGTAAAGAATCAACCTGAAATGAAGGAGACTCAGGTTTGATCCCTGGGTCAGGAAGATCCCCTGAAGAAGGGAATGGCTACCTACCCCAGTGTTCTTATCTAAAGAAGCCCATGGACAGAGGAACCTGGCAGGCTAGAGTTCGTGGCACCATAAAGAGTCAGACACAGTTGAATGACTAAAACACTTAATCATTATTTTAGTTGGTATTTCCAAGATTATTACTAAATGTTGCACTTGAAATTATTTATTTCCTCTCATTAAAGGTTATGTTTTCCTTTAAACTTAGCTTATAATGTTAACATAAAAACAGTGCTAATATTTTTAGAATTTAAATTTTAATCATGAATTGCTTCAAACATATAAAAAATTACAGGAAACAGTATAACTGACCCAATTTAAAAACAAGATAGGAGTTTGCCAAATTTGTTTCAGTTGCTTTTTCTGTTTTCAGAAATGAAATGTTGTAAACAGAGCTTAAGACTCAAATGTTCCTCTGTCATCCTCTCTCTCCCTCACTCTCCTAAGAGTAACTGATCTAATATTGGAGTATGTGCATATTTTAACGCTTGTATTATAAGTATGTTCACTCACAGCAATATGAAGCACTGCTGTACGTGTCTTAAAATTACTTATATGGTGTCACACGCTGTATCCATTGTCATCATGCATTGCTACCACGATGTTGTGAAAGCGAAAGTGTCAGTCACTCAGTCGTGTCCGACTCTTTGCAACCCCATGCACTGTAGACCACCAGGCTTCTCTGTCCGTGGGATTCTCCAGGCAAGAATACTGGAGTGGGTTGCCATTTCCTCCTCCAAGGGATATTCTTGACCGGGGGATTGAACC